TGCATACTTCTACCGAGCCCCAACAGTTCCCTTCAATTCAATTAAGCTGAACCAAATTGCACACACTTATAGAAATCAGTCCAGTAAATATGTCTACCGCCCCCATCAAGAGCCATTTATTGGGTTGAGATGTGACTGACTAGGGTTGCAGAGGAGCAGAAAATTTCCGGTAAATTTCCGGAAACTTTCCATGGAAAGTTAAGGTGGGGAATTTTGGAAATATTCAAAATTGGAAACTTTCCATGAGAATTATGGGAATTTATGGTAATTATTGGGAATTTATGGGAATTAACTGTAAATTGGGGGTAATTTAAACAAACTGGATCATATCCAAATATAAATGTAAATATTTTTGTTTTGTCATAAGCAGACATCCATGCAAAATAATATAATTAAAAAACATGACATTTCAACAGATTTATTTGAGCAGAACTTTAGTTTTATTTCTTGTATGAACAATTCTTTAATGAACAACAAAAACATGAATGTTGAGTAGCCTCTTAAATGGTCAATGAAATGAAAAATAGCTTACATTTAGCACCTATTTTTATTTAATATTTCCAAGTTAAACATCAATACTATTATAGATCAAATATATTTACCCCAATATATTTATCAAAACTTACTTGACTTCAGATAGTCCTCAGGCTCAAATGTGTGGCTTCAATAGTCTTGAAATCAGATGTGCATGTGATGGAGGAATGCACAGTGCATGTAGGGGGTGTGGCCTCAATAGCCCTGCAGTAAGCAGTGTGCTGTGTGCATGTGATTGAGGAGTGTACATGAAGTAAATATGGCTGTTTTAGCTAAGATTATGCTACAATATATTTTCCCCAACTATATTTAAGTTCCCTGTTGAGGGATAACCTCCAATTTTGTAAATTTCAGATTTATTCCGGTTAATTCCCATAGAAAGTTTCCAACTTTGAAAATTCCCGGAATTTTGCAACCCTATGACTGACTAATCAAAAAAATGCCAAACGTTAACGATACAGATCTGTACCAAAATGTCATGAATTCATATTCTGACCCTTACTGCATCTTTCCACCATGTGGTTATCCGTCCAGTAGTTTTTTTAAAATTATCTTTCTCACACACCAACCAACAAATGAAACATTATCTTCTTAGGAGGGAGTACCTATACCAGTTTCAGTTCTCTTATTACAGGAAAGCAAGTTGGACAAGCACCCTTAAAGAGCAGGGAGTGATGTGTCCTCAGATGTGAGGATAACAGGGTTGCCTATGAGGATGACTCATTTTCTGAAGAAAACAGCAAAGCACACATGCACTGCCATCCAGAGATGTGACGGCTCCTCCCCATTATTGGAATGCCATCTGACTTAATGGCACAGCCTCAGGTCACTTCCCTTATTCATCACCAGCTGTGTGTGTGTCTGTCTGTGTGCGCAGGAGTGGGTTTTCAGTTGTGTTTGTGGTCCGTGGCCTAAAATGCAACAAAATGCAGTGACTCGTGCTCAACTAACCCCCCC